CATGGGGAATGTATTAACAGGCAGGACCCACCCATCAAAGCACCTTGTCCCCATGTTGAAGAGGCAGGAAGATTTTTGGAATCCCAAAGCCCCCTTTAACAATAAAACCCAGGTAAAAGTTACCCTTCCCACCTGAATGAGTAAGGGGTACTTAGTACCCCAACTCATTCACATAAAAGTTAACAATAAAAATTACTTATATGGTTTTTGAACATCAAGTCTTTTATTAAAGAAAAAGTCTTACCATGTACACACATCATTGATCAAATCATCCAGTGATGGAGATCATTGACTACTGCTATATGTCACAAGTTAGCCTACAGTTTCTTGTTTGTGTTCCTGCCTCCTTGCTGCAGTGCTGTTCCTGATCCCTTCACGTGTGTGTTTGTCTATGCTCACCTATGAGCATCGTCTGCTGTTCTCTGGGTTTTATTTCCTTCCCTTCTATCACTTCCTGGCCAGCCTCCTTGTTTTCCTGCCTATATAAGGCATGCTCAGTCTAGGCCACTTTGTCTGAGCAACTTCCTAGTTGTCTGTGCTCCTGTGTGTTGCTATTGCCTGTATCCTGCATTGGCTACTTGTGTACCGACCCCGGCTTCGTTCTCTGACTGTGCTTGTTTTCCGCCTGTCCTGACCTCGGCTAGTCTATTGGATTTCCGTTTGTCTCTTCCCATTGAACTCTGCTCCTGTGAGCAGTCTCCTCATCCTCAACTGGGCGTACCTGGGGGACGCAACCTGGTCCCAGCTTGCTGCAAGTCCATCCCCACCATCAGGGGCTCTGGTGAAGAAGCAGGCTGGGGCTTAGACTCCGTGCCCTGGGGAACCCCAAGTTGAGTATCTACAAGGGCTCACTACCACAGGTGCTGACACTATAAACAATGCTCACATACCCATCATAAGAAAAAAAAAAGTTTACATGTCTGATTCAATGACTGCTTGGCTGCAAGTGACATCTCTAGTGGAGGACAGCTGATATAAACAAAGGATTGGGGGCTTTGCCAAGACCCGTACCATTTGTTTGACAATCCTCTGCGTATTAGGCTAGAAACCTGACTCAAACCAAACCCATGGCAACGCCTCAAACTCACCTGTGGCTTCCTTACACCAGCTATTTACGCTCCATGCAAGTGCATAAACTCACAAAAATAAAAGGAAAAGGCCACATGGCTTGCAATTGTACAGGAATGGGATATATGCTTCACACTCTCCCTTTCCTGGCCACCCAGGATGAATTCCTGGACAAGGGTCTACTTTGAATTTTAAAAGAAATCCAACTCCAATTCTCTCCTGTTTTTTAAAGGGAATATGCTTAATGTCCTTCCTTTCCTGGCCACCCAGACCGCATTCCCGGACAAGGGTCTAGTTTGCATTTTAAAGGAAATTCAACTCAATTTCTCTTCCTTTTTTAAAAAGGGAATACGTTTTGGGGTTTGTGGAGAGGACTTGTAGGAATCTGGAAGCATCCTTTAGAATAAGGGGTCCCCCTGATGTTTACCAAACCAACGAGAACAAGTGCAGGGGTACATTATACCCCTTACCCATTACCACAAAGGGCTAAAATGGTAATTGAAAACACACACAATGTAAAAAAGCTTTTTAACCTATTGTAACTTATGTAACACATATGTGAGGTGGAAAAAGGGTGGACTTTAACTCCCACAGCCATCACATAATTCATCGTTGAGCAGCCGATGTTTCTGTGCTGAGATTGTGCCCACTGCAGTAAGGCCAAGCTTTACAGCTTAGTCCAGACTGACAGTTGGTAGCTGCTGAGTTCAGCTTTTGAGCATTGACTGACAGCCAATCACAGTGGTCACATGATCACCAATCCTTCCCACCCCTCAGGTGTCCAGATCTATTTTAAAGGAACACCAGGGTAGGCAGGAATGGGTTAATAAAAATTAAAAAATGTAAATAATGTATTCAGATGTATATCTAGCATGAATCAGGATGACCCATTGACCAACATTGTTACCCACCACCATTGACCACCACTGGGGATCCTGGATGATGTCATTGAGCACATATGGTCATGACTATATGTGGTCAATAATGTCACCCAGGATCCCTGGCTAGGTTGTTCACACACAGAAGCCAGGGATCTATTGGTAGTAGTATGATGGAACAACATTGTCAAATGGCAGGTCAACGTAGAGGCAGGGTAAAAAACATTGGGATATGCGGAACCATTGATGGGCAGTGATAGGTAGACATAATTGATGCTGGATGTACATTTCTGGCCACTGTTATTGACTATAAAGTTATAAAGTGAGGTGAGGGGGGAAAATTATAGCCAGTTTTTATCTAAAGGGTGCTTCCAGATTCTTATAAGCCCACCCCAAACCCCTACATCCTTTTGTAAACAGGATGTGTGGAAGAGTCCCTTGTCCCCAAATATGGGGACAAGGTGCATTGCAAAGGGGCAGGTTTCGGGTGCAGGGGAATGTGGAGTCCCTGAGGTATGATCTCTTGCAATTAGTGATAGGAATATCACAAGAAAGTGATATTAAGGAAAATTCTGCAGGATTAATTGTGGGTTCAATATATGTCCCTAACTTAGAAGAAGTACATTACCAGTTTGTTTGGCAGTTCAGATAACTGCTTTCAGGTTGGGGTAGCCTGAAGATCATCCCTAGTCATAAGTTGTAACTCACACTAAGCGACTATTCCTTTAAAAAATTTTACCTTCTTAATTCACATTCTGACATATTTTCTTTTCACCCTCATCTATCTGTTTTTTCCTTTCTTTATTTTTATTGAAAACTGCTAAAAACAATATATATATTAGTGTGAAGTTTTTTTTTTTTTAATTTATCTAAGTCATTGAATAGAAAGTGGTAGTTAGTCACATGCAGCTGGTCATGTAGGGTAGTACAAACGTTGTTTCTCTGCTCATCCAAGTTCTAATGAGTGTGGAGAACATTCCCCAGCATTTTCACCTACATGGATAACTCAGTCACAATAACCCAATTACCATAGTGCCATGAAGTGTGTCAATGAAAATATTGACTATTTTTACAGTTATGTGATTGGTTTTATGTTTATTTTTTATGTTTGGTATCTGCTTTTATTGTTTCCTGTTTTGCATACCTTGAGTTTGAAAAAAATAATACAAATCAATTTGAACAACAATAACCAAATTCCTTTTCCTCATGCATGTTTGTGAGAATGTGCCTTATATGAACATAGAACTACTCTGAAGAAAAAGATATTAAGGAAAATTATAGAGACAAGTATTCATATGGGCAGAAATTTCATTTAGCTTCAATCAATAAACATGAAACGATTGCATCTATGTAAGCAGCAGCAGAAAACATCAGTGAGCTAAAATCCTATCTTGGATTTATTTCCTCCCTTAATGTTTTTATGCCAATAAATAAAATGCAGCTTCCATCATGATCTAGTAATGAACTGTGAAATAAAAATAATGGCGTATTTGAGCAGTTAATGTTCCTAATTCTTCATAATTTTTTTTCTTTATATACATACTCTGTTTTCAGTGTTCTCATTGAAATAACTTACAGAGTTTCAGTGGAAAGTGGAAATGGTAAATTTCCATAAATACTCTTTTCTATAACGTTTACTATATTTTTACAGCTGTAGGTTTGTTCAGGAACAGAATGTAATTAATGATTCAATCTTCCTAACCACAGTGGCTGTAAGCAAAGCAATTGCAGGTTGTGTTTTGTGACTGACCTTTTCTGTGCAACATGCTTGAAGAGATTGCTTTGGTGAGATAGTGAATGAAATGACACCTTGTAAATAACCTTCCATCTGCTATACATTACGGCACACGGCATTGTTTTGTGGTGCCCAGCCAATCACGATAATATCCTGATTTTCACATCCTAATAGTTTTGGGGAAAAGTGGCTGACCACTTTAACAGCCTGAAATTCTGAGATAAACTGCTAGGAAACAGAAGGTTTGGGACCTGCTGAAAGGCTGCCAATAGTAATTCAAATGTGCGCTAAGACTAATCCAAGTTATTCTCCGTAGATATAAACTTCATCACATTTATTATTGTATTACTCTATTTAAATTTATTGGCCAGTATGTCTAATGTGCTATCTGGTGTTGAGTTCCATTATTTCCATCGGTAAACACTGCTGACTGGATTAAAGACCTTTTCCAGGGTAATTACTAATTCAGCTATACTGCCACATATTTAACAAATATCTCTATATTTGTCCTTTGTCTGGGTTCACCTAATTGAAACATTTATGATGCACTTAACCATTGTAAACTGTTCCTATTAGCTATACTGTGTGTATTCATATTTTTCCATAATATTTGCCAATGTATAAAGCAAGACATTTCATTAAACTTTTCTCATCCCTCTCTGCACCATGATATAATATCCCTCCATAGTCAGACACAATATTAAGGTGAAAAGTTAAACCCCAAGCGGGAAGTGATCATGTCATGGAGGTAGTTAAACCAAAGATCTCACTGCCCTAAAAGTTGCAGTTCTAACCACTACACCACTACAAATGTGTTCCTCATTTTGTTCCATGATCAGGAACAGTAATGTATTGTAGATTTAACACCAACTGGATGACATTGAGTTGGCTAAAGCACTTTTTTAAAATAAAATACCAGTTTTATCTTTTGTTACATAATTGCTAGTTTCCTTGAGTCCTTTTGAGCTACTTCCTGACTGCATGCAGTCTCTCCAGTGATGGCTTCCTGACAAAGATGGACTAAACCTTACATTTTTGATATGGCCACTTGTAGTTTCCATTGGGGGCTGTTGTGGCTGGGAGACAATGTAGGAGCATGACTGGGAGACAGTTGTCACCCTGTATCAAAATGTGCCTGAACATGGTCCTTCATGGCAGGATCGCTAGTTATTTTTTCTGATAGCTGCATCTTTAAATAGATAAATGTTTTTATGAGACATTAGTAATCAGTTTAGTTTTTGTTTAATAGACCTAAGCTCATCAGTAGTATTATCTGTGGTAAGATACCCATAGGTGTTTATCAGTTGTCACTCAATAGGTTACAACCAGGGGCGGACTGACCATTTGGAAACTCGGTCACTGCTCAAGGGCCCAGGGTCAGTAGGGGGCCCCATGAGATGCCCCTGGTACCTTTTTCATAGGCTTTTTTGAGTTTGGGCAAGGACACAGGGGCCCCATGATCCCCTATTGCCCAGGGGCCCCATGAGTTGTCAGTCCGCCTCTGGTTACAACCTGACTGTGGAAATATTTTCAACTGTATCCTGCTGCCAGTTTTGAAAAAAAAAACTTTTGTCCCACAAATCCTAAGGCATTTCTGTATTCTTGAGATACATTGCATATCAGTCTGTTGTATTTAGTTATAGTTTTATTGCTGAGTTGTCTTGACTGCGTTTCTGCCATTGGCATGTTCTGCATTGTATTCAAAAACACTTTGTTGTTTAAACTAGTTTTATTTTTAAAACTTTTTTTTCATTACAAATTGATTAACAATACAAATCCAAGTGTTGAATAACCAAGGCACTGACACACCGCATTAGTTCTGGTCACTGGGACCATAATCTCACCTTGTGGTTATTATACACATTTTAAATGGAGATGGGCACTTGCAGTGGCATCACCAGGTTTGGTGTCACTTGGTGCTGTAAAACAAGGTGTCACCCCCCCCCCCATGGTGTCCTGCCACTTCAGAGTGACAGCAGGACAGAGCAGTAGACAATGGACAGCCTAGCGCGTCGGGCTCTCTCCCCAATCTAGCCTACCACAGTGCCCTGCAGGGTACTAGACAGGATAACTTCAGGCTGGCAGCACATGGTCACAGTGCGCACCCCAAACTGGCCCCTGTAAATTATGCCAGCAAAAAATCCTCCTACCTTACCCTAATCCCCCCTTTTAGCACAAATCCCCCAACCCCCCCGGCTAACATTTTCCCCAAACTGCCCTCCTAGCACATATACCCTCATTCCTTCTCTTAGCACAATCCCTTCCCCCACCATCCCTATTACTTTTCACAGCACAAAAAGCCCCTTCACCCCTCCTGCACAAAAGCACAAACCTCTCATTTGTGCACAAATTATTGTTACCCCTCCTCTTTTCATTGTGTACAGTTCAACTGGCCTGTAAGCCCCCCCCCCCCCAATCCAACCGATGGGAAACCAGGTAGAGGTGTGGGTTGTACTGTGCTCTCTCCCTCCTGAGAATGGAGCAATGCTCCTTACAGCTGATGACACAAGATCACTCTTGGATCGGGCTGTACACAGTTTGATTACCCCGCACCCTGTCTGCTCCAATGACCGCTCATCTCCTGGCAGCAGGGAATGAATCAAACACTGAACATGCAGATTTAAATGAAATACTGTGTCATCTGCTTTATGAAGGATCTCTTGGCTGACAGGAGGGGGGGACCACAGCTCGCACCTCCTGGCTCTCTCCTCTCTGTCATTTCTCCTTTGTGGACTTCACTGCTCCAGGCCGCTCTCCCTTTGTCCCAGCCATGAGTGCAAGGATAGGGGGAAGGGACTCAGTGGCCATGCACAGCATCCATGAAAAGATCGGCCTGGGGGGGGGGGGCACATCTAAAATAGATCCGGCCATGGTGTCACCTCTCTTGTGGGTGTCATCCAGGTGCATTTCACACCCTCATAGCAACACCACAAGGCAGTTGGGTGCTTTTTGGTGTAAGACAGCAGTAAGATTAGCTAAAAATAGCAGACACAGGGCATGAGAGTTGGTAAGGGAGACAAAAACTGGACAAAAATAAACTATGAAAGCAATATTTCCCATGTTACTGAACAACAAGAATAAATTACTTTTTTAGACTAGGTTCACATTTATGCTGTGATGCCGCTGCAGGACCCGCACAAATACCAGCAATCGCAACCACCTACACAGAGAAATGCCATTAATCCTGATGGTATGCCGCCCGCACTTGAACCTCGCTTCTTGTGGAGGCTGTGATTTCAAAAATAGCGCAGGGACTTCTTTCCTGCATGTCCTGGGGCATGGCAGCCCATTCAATTGAATCACAAATTGTGGCCTCCACAGCCTCACAGGTGTGAACCTAGCCTAAATCCCTTTCTCATAACATTAATATGTGTGTGAGAGTCAAGTCAAATATAACCACCACTACCACCAAACATAACACCTGTTAACTCTGTGTTTGGGCTTTGTTTTAGCTAGTTGCATTTTTCTAAGTTTTCTCTGAGGTTCATAGGACCTACTCATCTATGAAATAGAGGAGAAAATGAGGTTCCTGTAGTACTGGCCTGTTTCTGTTGTCCGGAAACAGCAGGGATCCTAAACCTCACTCTAGGGCAATATGGGGTTTATGAATAAAAGGTTCAGTGAATGAATGTGACAAACATCTGTGCAGTTCAAACAAAACATATCAAATTCAGTGTAATATAATTATCTGCTATTGTTGTAAGCACAATCCAGTGGCCATAATATGATCATGTTTTAAAAGTATTTAAATCAGGATTATGGCCACTAGATGGTGGTTATGACCATAAAAGATAATTATACTGCACAGAGTATGTCGATTTTGAATGGAACTGTGCAGATGGTTGTTACTTTTGTTCAGCAAATGTTTTCTACATAGACCCCTAAGTGTTACTTTCAGAATCACGAGTGGAAATATAAGAATAGAAAATGAACGCAGTCTCCATGTCTCCAAGATTTGGAAAGCAACCACTTATTGCATTTTTGTTTTTGGGTTTAGATACACTTTAAATACAGACCTCAACATTTCCAAGACATCTGAAAAAGGGTTCTCTACAAAGACATATACTATTCAGTCATTTTTATTGTATTAGTAAAAAGATACACAATAAGATATTAAGAATATATACATTTTTTGATGTCTTAATGACCAGACATTAAAATGGTAACAGGCATGCAAAGGAAAGTGAGATTCAGTTTCAACACAGTAAGGTGGTCAATGTAAGGTGGTTACATAACTGTGAAGAGGGGAAGTGGTCAGACCTTTTTCCCTGTGAACCCAAGTTTAAATGCATTGTCTATAATTAATGGAGTACTGTGCTTTTAGTTCAGTTAATTTTTTAAATTGACCCCACCCTCCAAATCTTACACCTCCCTGTCCATGTTCTATAGAGATCTTGCTGCATAGCTATTAAGGGCCACACAGTCTTACTCTAATGGATAATGGAAATCTCTGTGGAACATGAGAGGTAGGCTTAAGATGTTTTGGGGAGGGAGAAGAAAGGGACTTTTAGAGAAATTCCCAGCAGTTAAGAGTTTTTTTTTCAGCTGAAGTGACTTGCAGAGTCTTTTAGTTTTTTCAAAAAACTTTCCTCTGTGCCCTTTGTAGTGTACATCACTGCCATGGAGTACATCCCTCTTATTTTCAGCATTGCTAAGAATAGAGTTGAATGCCAACTGCAATGTATGCACAAGGGAGGAGTATCAAAGGACAAGATAAGGAGCAAGATGCAGCCACAGTGTATGGGGCAGTGACTGGAACCTGGGTCTGACCTGCAATCATTGGAAGAGGGCACACTAGCAATTAAATGTGCCATAATGTGTGAATATGCTGTGCGTCTCTGCACATTATAGCAAGAGCCCATCCAGACAGCAAGATTTAGTTCTTCCTTAAATGATAACTGTACTTAAAGTGATAGTAAACTCTACCTCTTTACTCAGCACTGTCAAACCTTAAAATACGACATACATGTAGGTTTCTTTAAATCCTTTTTGAGATGTATCATTTAGGAGATTTTGCCCTGTTCTCTATCTGATTACATGCACAATTCATTCCAAATTGATGGTACACTGACTTTCAGTCATTGTAGCTCTCCTATGAGAGCTCAGAGTATCATCTCTTCCTGAAACCCCACTTGACTGGCTACATCACAGGGGTTGTCAAGCACACAGGGAACAAGGATGATAGTTGCTTATTTGTGTGCTGTCAAGTGACCAGTTTCCCAACAGAAAACCATACAAAACAGACACTGAAAATAATAATAAAGAGGCTTTAGTATATCTTTTTGGTACATGCGGGAGATTACCAGGGCAATGTAGTAGAAGGGCAGAAGTAGGGAAGGAATCTGCTTCAGGAGGTTTCCCTAGAGATGACGCCAGAAACAGCTTCAGAAACACTAGATGAATTAAAACATTGGATGCAAATAAAGTAAGGACACTCCAATGGCACTGGTAACATATCTGGTTAGATTGTACTGTGCATTGCAGTGCAGATCAGTGTTTAACTGGATTAGGCAGCACTGGGTTTACTACCGCTCTAAAGTTTTGATTACATTTTTCAGGACAGAGGACAGCACCACTAGCTGCTATTACACAATATTAGTATAGTGTATGAGGGCACTTCCTAGAATAAAAGAAAAGCAGTTACACCTCTACATTAGCTACATTAGCATTATGTGTATATTTTATTCTAGAGCTACATGTCAGGAGCATGGTTTTTGAGTGTTTCATTCTGATTGTGTTAATAATCACAACCACGTTCTATAGAATTACTTGATCTATAGGTTGGTTTCTTGTCCTTCCTTCATCCTCCTTTTTTGTCCACTGGGATCTTGGGAGCCATTATCAATCTAAAGGGTAGTAAATTCTAAGGTTAATATTAACACTCTCCGATTCTATGTAACATAGAAGATGGAGTACTCTTTCTATGTTATTTTATGTAACTGAATCATTGAGTTGGCCAATAGGCCACCTACCCTTTGTTATATTGTTACTGCTTGACCTGTATGGTTTCCTATTTTCTCAATAAAGTCCTTGTTAAAAAAAAATATGTATATTATTATGATTCAATGTCTACATATAATTGTGGTAATTCCTTTTCTACAAAATGCCAGCTATTGAGCATTTACTAGCAACAAAATAATAATTAGTAGTTTTGTTGTCCTGGAATTACTGTCAGGTTAAAGGAATCTGCTATATTTTTACTCACAGTAATGAATTAAACTGGAAATAAAACAATACTTGATCCTTAGATTAAATTACAGGTTTGGCTTTTAGAACTGTCAGAAAGATGAAAAACCACTTTAAACGCCAAGGCTCAAAAATGTTAATTTATTCCACACAGTGAATGTTTACTATAATTACCTTAAAATCTGCAGCACAGACATAGATAATATTAAATTTAAATAAACCAAGACTTTCAAAATGGTAGATAAATTTTCTTTTCCCTGGGGCCTTCAGGTTTTGATCTCTTATAATTATTGAGATTTCCACTCCAGTCAAAACTGAAAATTAAG